GAGGAGCCTGTAGGAGTTTTGAGGGTCAGAGAGAGCTGTGTGGGTCTGGGGAGTCGATGAGAAGAGGGGAGGGGGTGCTCAGGGACCTCCCTAGGGGCTGGGAGCTTGTCCTGAGGGGCTTGTGGGGGTCTTGAGTGGCAGATGGGTGGGCTGTGAGGGGAGTCGGGGCTCCTGTGGGTCTGGGGGGACCGTTGGGATCAGGAACCTGTGTAGGGGCTGAGAGCATGTCCTGAGGGGCTGTGAGGTGGGAAGAGGAGCTGTGAGGCGACAGTGTGGGGCTGGGGGTATGAGGGAAGGATGAGGGTCCTGGGGGTAGTGTGGGGTTTGTGGAGCAGAAGGGTGGGGGCACCCTGAGATCCCGGGGTGGACTGTGGGGTGGGTGGGGGGGTCCTCTGGGGTGAGAGGCTGTAAGGGGTCCTGAGGGACCTGTGGGGCAGGTGGGGGCTGTGAGGGGAGGCTGTGTTGTCTGTCAGGGGGAGCTGAGGAGCTTGTGTAGGGCTGGGGTCATGTGAGTGGTCCCAGGGGATGGGGGAAGTTTTGGGGGGCCTGAGGGGAGGAGCAGGACAGGCCCTGAGGGATCTGTGAGAGGCTGTTGAGGGAAGGGGAGAATGTGAGCCTGGGAAGACAAGAGCAGGTTTGGGCATCCAGAGAGCTTGGTTTGTGGGCCCAGGTGAGTTGGTTTGGGGTCCAGGATAGGCTTGGTTTGGGGGTGCAGGGGTTTGGTTTGGGCATCCAGGGAAGCTTAGTTTGGAATCCAGGGGGCTGCCAGGGCACAGATCAGGAGTAACAGGGTCCCTGAATCTCAGTGCCCACCATAGCAGAGCCCAGGGTAACCCATCCCTGTCCTAAATCCGTCCCTACCCTAAACCCTCGTTCCCTGGCAGGGAGGCCGACATGCCAATTGACGTGGAGACAGTGACGCCCACCCCGGTGCCCCTGTACGACAACCAGAAGGCCCGGAGCGTGATGAACGAGTGCGAGAGGCACGTCATGTTCGCACGCACTGACGCTGATGCACCTCCACCCCCTGATGACTGGGAAGAGCACGTCAACAGGTACCCAGGGACAGCAGAGACAGGGAATTCTGGCACCCCCTGGAGTGCTGGGAGGGTTTTGGTGAGACTGGACACACAGGGGTGTTACTGAAATGAGCTATGTTCAAGGAAAATGGATTTTTGTGTCCCAACTCATCTGGCTGCTGTGAAATCTGAGTGTGATGGTGGGGGGTGGCCCAGCTGGTGAACCTCTCCCACATGGCATCACAGAATCATTAAGGTTGGAAAAGACCTCTGAGGTCATTGAGTCCAACCTGTGCCCGATCCCCACCTTGTCACCCACCCCAGAGCACTGAGTGCCACGTCCAGTTGTTCCTTGGACACCTCTGGGGATAGGGACTCCACCACTTCCCTGGGCAGCTGCTTCCAATGCCTGACTACCCTTTCTGTTAAGAAATTCCTCCAGATGTCCATCCCATGAATCCATCTCATGTATTCAGGGGAGGTTGGAACAGTGAGTCATAGAGTGATGGTACAGATCCATAGACTCATTTGGGTTGGAAAAACCAAATTTTTAAGGTCATTGAGTCCACCCATTCCACAGCACTGCCAAGGCCACTACAAACCCGTGTCCCCAAGTGCCACATCCACAGGGATGTTAAATCCTCCCAGGGGTGTGGACTCCACCCCTGTGCCAGGGCTGAATGGCCTGTTCCATGAAGGAATTTCCCCAGTATCCAACCTGACCCTCCCCTGGCACAGCTTGAGGCCGTTTCCTCTCATCCTGTCCCTTGTTCCCTGGGAGCAGAGCCCAACCCCCCCTGGCTTCACCCTCCTGTCAGGGAATTGCAGAGAACAAGAAGGTCCCCCCTGAGCCTCCTTTTCTCCAGGCGGAGCCCCCCCAATTCCTTCAGCCCCTTCCCCACTCCATTCCCTTCTCTGAACACACTCCAGCCCCTCAATGTCTGTATTGAGGTGAGGGCCCAGAACTGTCCCCAGGAATGGAGGCGCCTCAGCAATGCCCAGCACAGGCAGGGATCTGGGGAGTCATTGGATTACACGTAGATCCCCAGTTCAACCATGTTCCAATGTCAAAGACAATGAGGATATGCATAAATTCCACCCTGTGGAACCCTCCAGCCCACAGTGTTAACATTATGAGGAATTTGGTTGTTTTATGGACAGCAGCTCTCAGGCCCCAGGCGTGTGTGTGACAGCTCCTGTGTGTCTCTCCCCACAGGACAGGGTGGACCATGGCCCAGAATAAGCTGTTTAACAAGATCCACAAAGCGCTGCAGTCAGACAGGTTGGCTCGCCTGGCCAATGAGGGGGTAAGAGTTGTTGTTATCTGTCCTTCTCAGCAGAGCCAGGATGGAAGTCTTGGCCTTTGGATCATGTAGCCTCAAGGAACAGGCAGCTCTGGGCTTCTTTGAGCCATGATTTTTGTGGAATCATAGAATATCCTGAATTAAGAGGGACCCACAAGGATCATTGATCCAACTCCTGGCCCTGCACAGACACCTCAGCAATCCCACCCTGGCCCTGAGAGCGTTGTCCAAACACTCCTTGAGCTCTGCCAGCCTTGGGGCTGTGACCACTGCCCTGGGGAGCCTCTTCAGTGCCCACCCACCCTCTGGGAGAAGAACCTTGTCCTAATATCCAACCTAAACCTCCCCTGACACAGCTCCAGCACGTTCCTTCATGTCCTGTCACTGATCACAGAGAGCAGAGATCAGAGCTGCCCCTCAGGAGGAAGTTTTGACTTTCTGGGAGGGCTCCCCTCAGCCTCCACTTGCCTTCCAAGGACAGGTTTAGTCCTCACGGCCAGATGTTGGGCTTTGCTTCCAGGGGTCTTAGGGCTGCCCAAGCCAACACTTCCCTATGGATCAGGATGCATGTGACATGCTTGATCTTCCCCATAACTGTTCCTTTTGGATTTCCTGGTCTCCAGGCTTGCAATGAGCCTGTCCTGAGGAGGATAGCGGTGGATAAATGTGCCCGGAGGGTGCGCCAGGCCCTGGCCAGTGTGAACTGGGACACCAAACTTATCCAGTGGCTCCACACGACACTGGTGGAGACCCTCAGCCTGCCCGTGCTGGCCGCATACCTGGATGCTCTGCAGACCCTGAAAGGAAAGGTGATAAAAGCAGTGGGAGACTTGGCTGTCGTGGATGACCTTCTCCCTTTATCCAGCTTGCAGATGGAATTGTTATCCCTTGTTTTGTGTGTGTTTTCTCAGTCCCTCCTGGCCTCTGGTTTCAGATCCCCACGCTGATTGACAGGATGCTGCTCTCTTCCACGGCCAAGACAGGAGCAGCTGGGGCTGAGGCTCTGTCCCTGCTGCTCAAGAGGCCTTGGGACCCAGCAGTGGGTGTCCTGTCCCATAATAAACCAGTAAGTGCCTCTGGGGGCTTGTGGGGAGCGAGAGGTCCCACATCAACTTTATTCTTCCTCTTCCTTCTACCTCTGTCTGCTCTGCTCTTTCCCCCGCATTAGACTTGCTCAGTAATGGGGAGTCCTTCTGTCGGGCATGTTCCCCCTGGGCTATCCCAAGGGAGCTTTGGCTTGGGAAATTCATACTCCTTTTCTTTCCACCTCTGTCTTCTCCCTGAGCTCTTTTCCCCGTGTTTTTGACTTTCTCAATGACAGGGAGTCCTCCTGTTGGGCACATTCACCCTGGACTGTCCCAAACTTTGGCTTGGGAAAACAATCACTTAACAAGCTGTGCAAGGTCCCTCCTGCTTCCCTATGCAAGCCAGGAAGGCAGTGAGGTCCCTCCAGAGAAGTTGCTCTCCGTGACAGGTCTCTTGTTGAACTTTGCAGAGCAAGTTGCCTGGTTCCCCTCTCATCCTCATCGCTTCCTCTGGCCCTGCCAACTCCATGTTCCCCGCTTCCCGACGGCACCGCTTCTGGCAGTCACAGCTCTCCTGCCTGGGAAAGGTGTGTGGGCTTGGCTCTGGGGGAAGGACAGAGCTGCTTCCAGAAGCCTTTGGTGCACCAAAATCCTTGGAAAGCAGAGGCTGATACTTGCCAGCCTCAGGGTTTGCCGTTGGAGACTGCATAGGGATGGATTTGCCAAATCCAATGTGTTTGAGGTTTTTTGATACTGTTATTAAGGATTGATGAGGGTTCTGGTAGGAAGGGGTTGGAGAAGGGAGACTGGAGGTCGTGTTAGTCCTCTTGGCTATGGAGCTGCTCACTCATCTCCTAATGAGTGTGTTTGATACACTGGAGTGAGGGGAGATGTTTTCTGGTGGGAATCCATGGGGAGTTCTCCATTTACTGTGGTTTTAGTCGCTAGAAATGAATCCTAGGGTAAAGAAGGAGAGAAAGCACGAGTTCATGTGTAAAATGGGCTCTATTCTGTGCTAATTGTTGTCAGCACCTGTTGTCCTCAGTAAGGCCTTGGTTAATTCCTGATTTTCCCTTTCCACTGGCAGGTGATTCCCATTGCCACCTCCCTGCTGAACAATGGCAGTGGGGTAGGAGTGCTGCAGTGTCTGGAGCACATGATTGGGGCTGTGAGGGGCAAAGTGGCAGAGGTGAGGGAGAGGTAATGGGTTTATAAGGGAGTCTTTGTGCTCCCATTGACCTTATTCCCATTCCTGGAGGTGCTGTGCTACCCCAGGGCATCATCTCATTGTCTGTCCTGCTTCTGCATTCCTGTGTTTTTGTCTCCTGTAGATTCACAACCACTTCTCTCACAAGCAGATCATCCTGATCGGGTGGAACACGGGTGCCTTGGTGGCCTGTCACGTGAGTACCTGATTCCTTTACATCGTCAAGGAAGCACAAGAAGGATATGGATCTGTTAGAGCAGGTCCAGAGGAGGCTGCAGAGATGCTCCAAGGGATGGATCCCCTCTGCTCTGGAGCCAGGCTGGGAGAGCTGGGGCTGTTCGCCTGGAGAAGACTTCTCCAGGGAGACCTGAGAGCCCCTTCCAGTGCCTGAAAGGGCTCCACGAGAGATGGAGAGGGACTTAGGACAAGGGATGGAGGGACAGGACAAGGCAGAATGGCTTCCCACTGCCAGAGGGCTGGATTAGATGGGATATTGGGAAGGAATTCCTCCCTGTGAGGGTGGCGAGGAGCTGGGATGGAATTCCCAGAGAAGCTGTGGCTGCCCCATCCCTGGAAGTGTTCAAGGCCAGGTTCGACCGGGCTTGGAGCAACCTGGTCTAGTGGAAAGTGTCCCTGCCCATGGGACTGGATGGCCTTTAAGGCTCCTCCAACCCAAATCCTTCCAGGGTTCTGTGATTCTCCCAGAGCCCACTTAGCAGCCTCAGTTCAGAGACGGATTTGAGAGACTGTTACACTTGATGGGTTCTCCTTGTCCCTTTCCTCTTTCCGTGGCCTGCTTTTGACCAGTCTGTGGTTGTGGGCCATTAGCAACTTGAGTCATTTAACATTTTCTAATCACTCTTTTAATCTCCAAAGCCAAGTGTAGCTATGGAAGGTGTTTCTGTGCCTGGCACAGCAGCTTTTGCTCCTAGGATGCTCTGTGCTGTGAGAATGCTGAGTGCTGCTCTTTCTGCCCAGGTTTCAGTGATGGAATATGTCACTGCCGTTGTGTGCCTTGGATTCCCACTGCTCACCGTGGATGGCCCCAGAGGGGTAAGGACCAGGTGGAGCTGTTGAAAGAACTCTGCTTTTCTTTAAACCTCCCTACATTGTTTCATGGAATCAGGCTTGGAAGTCCAGTGAAATTGGCATATTTTTTGCAGAATATCTGGGTGATTTGTCTTTGAAGGAGGTGTTGCATTTAGAGTAGGGACTGTTGCATTCCTGGTGGGATTCTTGATGCAATAGCAGGTGTGAGAGGTGCTATCTGTGCTTGTCTTGGCTGTGACCTGTTTTTGCTGGACGTGTAGATCCCTCGTTAACCATGCCCTGGGTCCCTCATTAACTGTATCATTTGGCACTAGAGCTGGTTTATTCCTTTATGAGCTGAGCAGTGTGTGACTGGCTTGGGAATAATTAGAGCTGTGCAAATGCAGTGGCTAATTCTGAGGGTGTTGGAAATCCATCTGGGAGGTGTTTGCTGGAGCAGTTTTCATCTGGACTCAGTACAGTTGTCAATCCCATCGGGATTAACCCGAAGTGCCTCTTCAGGTGTTCAGCTCCAAAGATTCTTCATCCTGGCTCAGCCCTTCCAGATTGCAATTCCCTGTGCTCTTGCAGGATGTTGACGACCCCCTCCTGGAGATGAAGACCCCTGTCCTCTTCGTCATTGGGCAGAATTCCCTGCAGTGCAACATTGAAGCCATGGAGGATTTCCGGGAGAAAATCCGGGCAGACAACAGCATGGTGGTGGTGGGGGGAGCAGATGACAACCTCAGGTAACATCCTATCAGGTGGATACTCTCTTTTCCCAGGAATTCTGGGCAACATCTAGGCGTGCTGTGTAAATAAACCCCGGATTCGGTACTGGAACTAAGTGGGAATGGCATGAAAATGCTCCATACTTGGGTGAGTTTGGAATAATTGCACCAAAAAGCTGAACCAGTTGTGTATGGGAATGGGGTTGCCTGATCTAGAGTTGGGCCCAGAGCACAGATCAGGTTTTAGAGCATCGTATGAATCAGAAATCTCTAGTAGGAAAAACCAGTAAAGGAGAGGAAAAAAAGAAACATAAAATTCTGACACTGGGTCTGGAGAAAGAGCTCTCAAGTGTCAGATTTGCTTTGGAAAATGCTTTGGGATGCTGGATATTTTTCCTCAAAGTTTGTCTTGGCACTTCTGAGGGATCAATCTCATCATTCCAGTAGTTGGTGCTCTTGGGTTGTGACGTGAAGGCTCTTACTCAGGCCTTACTCAATGTGTAACTGGGTAAGGGACCCACCTTGTGTCACTTGAATTTTTCTCTCAGGTGAGGATGTTGTGAGCATGGAAGTGGAAAACCAATCATGTTGATTTCCATCTGTTTTTATTTCCCAGGATAAGCAAAGCCAAAAAGAAGTCAGAAGGCCTGACCCAGAGCATGGTGGACAGGTGCATCCAGGTAACCATGGGGATCTTCCCTTCACACCTCCAAAAAAAGGGGTAATCCCTGCTGAAATGTCTCAATGCCCAAAGGTTCCAGCCAGGATTGGTTGGATTGAAGGGAATCTGTCTCCTGAGGGGAATTTGGAAGTGGCTGTTTCAGTAGAGATGTGAGATTCCTGGTGGTGCACCTTAAACAAGGAGCAGTTTCCTAAGTCTCTCAAGGGACACAGGTGGTATTTTTGGGGAGTTTGAAGAAACCATCATATTTCTCTCCCAGGTGTCCAAAATCAGCGGGTTGTGAGTTTTAATGAGAAAACCAAAGTCTGTCTGTGAGGTTTTAGATGTTCTCCCTGTGGAATATTAGACCTCCAGAGCCTTATCCATTTGTCCCTTTGGGAATCTCATTCTTTGATTTGTCTGTGAGTTCATAGGGAATCTTCTTGCAGGATATTAAACCTCTAGAGCCTTATCCATTTGTCCCTTCAGGAGTCTCATTCTTGGGTCTGTCTGTGAGGTTTTAGGGATTCTTCCTGTGGAATATCAAACCTACAGAGCCTTATCCATTTATCTTTTTGGGAATCTTATTGCTCCTTTGCTTCAAGCTATGAAGATCCATTGCTAGAGACCTACCCACCTCTTAATCCAGCTATTTATTCCCTCCTCCCTAGGATGAGATAGCTGACTTCCTGACTGGAGTGCTGACCCGAGCCGAGAGCCACTCGGGCTCTGACCCCCGGGACCTGGATGCTGAGAAGAAGAAAAAGCCCCGTGACTCCACCAGGAGGGATCTATCCTTTGACTTGCCAGAAAGGAACAGCAGACCTACCTCCCCTGCAGCCAAAGTACCAGCCTCGCCCTCAGGATCAGAGGTGGGAGCTTTTCCCAGGGTAATTCCAGCTGGGAAAGGCTGAGGTTGTGTAAAGAGGTACCTCTGTGCCACTGAAATATGTGGTGAGAGCTGTGATTAGTGTTGAAGATGGAGGTAAGAGGATATGGAGGAGTGATGGCCTCAAGTTGTGCCAGGGTCGGGTTAGATTGGATATTAGGAAAAAGTTTTCATGGAAAGAGTTGTAAAGCATTGGAAGAGGCTGTCTAGGGCAGTGGTGGAGTGACCATCCCTGGAAGTGTTCAAAAAACACATGGTTGTGGCACTTGAGGATGTGTTTAGTGGTGACTGTGGTGGTGGGTTATGGTTGGACTTGATGATCCTAAAGGTTTTTTCCAGCCTTAACAATTCCATTGTTCCAATAGCTTGTGGTGAGACAAATGAACCTTCAGAGTTAGGTGTACTCCAGCTGAAGGATTCCTGACACTCAGGGTTAAGACTGACTTGAGGAAACGTTGGGATAAGAGGTGTCCCTCTCTTCCAGCAGGACTTATCCAGCGTCTCCAGCAGCCCCACTTCCAGCCCCAAGACCAAAGTGGCCACCGTGTCCCTCCAGAAGCCCCCCCCGGTGGGCACCACACAGCTCCTCAAGAGGCAGGTGCCGAGGGCAGACACAGTCCTGACACACAAGCAGGCACAAGGTAATTCCCTGCAGCTTTCCCACCCTTTTAGCATCCAGATTTTTGGTCTTTTTCTGTCCTAGTGTGTGGAGGTCTTTGTCTTCAGAGTCCTGTCTTGAATTCCAAGCTCCCCGTGGCAGCTTTTTCTCCAGCTCAGTCCCTGTCACTGCCATCTGAAAGGATTGGAGGGTTGGAATTATGTTGGGAATGATGTTTGTGGAGCTTGTGGAGTCTTCCTGCTGTTGGGGAGTGGGAAGGACTTTCACTTTGGCTCATCAAATCCCTCTGTAGCCTTGCTGTAATCCTTTTGGAAGTGAGAGCCCCTTGTCCAGTGTCATGAATCCTTGAAGGCTCCCTGGGAAGAGACCGAAGGTGCTCAGGAGAGAATAAAGATGCTCAGGTGATGTTTGAGGCTGTTGAATTGAGACTGAAACTGTGGGATTTAAGGAATTATAGAGTGATCTTGCAGTAAATGACTGTGGAAAACCCGCTCTGAATAAGAACCCACCCTGTGGAGTTTTGTGTCCTGTTAGTGTTGATTTAAAACCTTTCTGTGCAGCTTCATTGTGGTGGTGAATGCTCGGAGCGTAGGAAGTGGTTTTGTGGATGAGGATCCTCCTGGCAAATCCCTGGGCAATAGTTTTCCATCCTTCCTTCTCTCCTTATTTCTTTGCCCAGGGCAGACCTGAACAGGCTCATTGTTGTCTCCTGTGACCTTCCACATCCTCTGAAACCTTTTCCTAATTCAGGGATAGACTCCGGGAGGAAGCTGAAGCTTGCATTTTCCTTAATTTCTCAGACAGTGGACTGAAGGATTGTATTCCTTTGTTGTTGTAGCTGAGGGAAACAGTTTCCAGGTAGCACATGGGAGGCAGGAGGAGGGTCTGTGGGTCTTTTTGGGTCTCTGGCTGTGTCGTGGCTCTCTGGTTTAGTCAACAATGCTGCTGCTCCTGGCTGGAGCTGCTGAGGGATGTGCTGGCTCACGTCTCCCAGCTGCTCTCAGCTCCTTGGTGCAACTGAGCCAAGCTTAGCTGTGCTCTTCCAGCCAGGCCTGCTCTTGTTTCCGGGGCCTTTTCACAGTGGCTGTGGGGCTGGAGAGGGCTCCAGGTTAGAGGTGGGATGAGGAAGAGGTGGCTGTGTCTCTGTTGTGCCTGTGGCTGGATGAGTTATGTCCAGAACTCTGTCTCTGCTCAGAGGTCTGTCTGTGGTGTCCCTGGAGCTCCCTGTCCCCTCCAGAGATCCTGTGATCCTGTAATTCTCTCTGATTCATTTCAGCTCAGTTTGCTGCTTTTCTGAAACAAAACATGCTGGTGAGGAAAGCTCTTCCTCCTGGCACCTCTTCATGTCTCTTTGGTGAGTATCCTCTCACTTCCCGCTGTCTCTCTTCCTATCTCCCTCCTCTCTGTCTCTGCTCCCTTCTTCCATCATCTTCCTCTCCCCTTGCATTGATTTGGGGATGTGGCCCAACGTGTCCCCTTGTCCCCCTGCTTTTTGCTTCCTCTTTGCTGTATTCGGAGCTGGAGCCAAGGGCCCACTTTACCTGGGAGCTGTGACTTTTCCCGAGCTCTTCCTTGTTCCCAGTGGATAAAGGCAGTGTCTGGCAGCTGGTTTGCTCTGATGGACTAAAGCTTTGTGCACGAGTTTAACCCTTTTTCTTTGCTGGGGGTGAGAAGGGGACATGGACATCAACCTGAAGAGACCATGTGTGGTTGTGGTGGAGCATCCCAGACACGTGGGAGAGAAACAAGGGACAACCAAGTGACTCGGAAGGGACGCGTGGAGCAGCTTTGCTTGGTCTGAGGGAATTAGAGCAGAGAGATCAGGGAGGGGGATGGCTTTGGGAAGCTGTGATGGATCAGGGAGAGGGGTGGCTTTGATAGATCGGGGAGAGGGATACTGTCTAGACCAGGAGACATGTGGAAGTGAGCGCTCCGTAGTCCTGGAGTCTCTCAAGTTGAGCACAGAGGTAACTGAGTGTGTCATGCTCGGAGGGTTTGGAATCAAGGGGCGAAATCCATAGTATCTGAAGATGTGTTTTACCATCACGAATGACAGTGAACGTGTGGATCTGGGGTTAGGAGGGCAGGCAAAGTGGAAATCCAAGGATTTGGGAGGCTGTGGTGGTGTCATATGAGTATGTCAGTACTCCATTAGGGTGCTGAGAGCTGACCTGGGTGAGAAGTTCCTCTGCCACCCCAAATGCTGTTGCCTTTAACTCTCCAACCATGGTAATCAACCCCTGAGGCAGGTATTGCCTCAGGCTGGTGGTTTGAAAGGTTTCTTTCCCTCTTGAGCATGGTTTAGGGGTTTCTTTCTCCCTGGAGCCTCGCTTAGAGCTCTCCCCTGTGCCATGAGGGGAGAGAGCACACTTGGAGCCCTGCAGGGGAATCCCCAGCTGGTGGGAGCTGTGGAGAGCCTGGCACAAGCCTGGGGGGGGTCTGTTCATAACTTCAAAAGCCAGTTAAAATCTCTGGGCTTGTTAATGCCTGAGATGTGAGGCAGGAAGGGGGGTGGAGCTTCATGGATCCACAAGGAAGAACAGGGTCCTCCCTGGAGTGGTGGGAACACAGAGGGACATTGGGTCACTGCTTGTTGATGCTTTGAGGGACACCTGACACCTGTGCACGTGCCTTTCACTGTCCTGCTTGGCTGGTGGCCCTTGGGAGGGGCTGTGGGGCCTGCAGGCTGTGCACGGCTCTGAGGACTCCCTGGATGCATCTGGGCCTGGATGGTGCATGTTTGGAGGAGGGCAAAGGCATGGAAGTGTTGCATGAGTGAACAGGCCTCAGGTCCAGCCATGGAGAGCAGGACAGCAAGCTTGGCACTTGTCTTGGGGACCAGAGCAGCCCCAAAATGCTTGGAGTTGCCTGAAATTTCGGGATTTGACTGCAATCCTGTCCTACATCCACAGTTCTGAGGTGTGTAGGTGGTGCACAGTGTATAAATATATACGTACACACACATATCTATACCTATTTTATACAATATATCTGCACCTGGATATTTATAAATAAAAAGGGATGTACATCTTGGCCTCTGGGCTGTGGAATACATGGCTTGGATGCCCAGGACCATCTGGATACAGGGAATTCCCAACATTTCAGGCTGGACTGGATGATCGTGGGGGATGCTGGATGGGCAGGATGTGGCAGCTCATGGCTATGTCTTGTTCCTGAGCTGTTGTGGGTCCCCTGTGCTTTTTCACAGGCTTTGGCCCTGGGAAGTTTATGCTTTAGGGGGGGATGGAGTGGATGTGACACATCAAGGATGTGGCAGCAAAATTACACGTTCACTGAGTGCCATGATCTAGTAAATGGACTGGATTTGGACCAAGGGTTGGACTCGATGATCTCAGAGGTCTTTTCCAACCCAATCGATTCTATGATTCTATGATTGGTGTGGAAGAGAACTCTCAACATGTGGGTTTTCTCCCCAAGTGCCAGTGTGGGACTTTGAGGGGCTTGGCTTTGCTGCCGCACCTTTTCTGCTTTGCTTGGTGCCTCCCAAAAACCTGCCCAACTCCAGGAAGAATAATAGGCATGCAAATCCCTTGGCTGTGTTGGAGGAGCAAGTAGGCTGAGCTCTGATCCTGCACCATCTCTGCAAGTCTCCACCTTGATCCCCTCACCTGGAAATTAGGGGTGTTGGAGGGGCCTTTTGCCAGGATTTGGATGTGCCACACTTTGAAATGAAAAGTGTTGATGTGGAGGTGTGGTATCACTGTCCACATCCATTTCCCTTCTCTGCAGAGGCAAGACAGATGTTATATCCCATCCTGCCTTAGCCTGTGAGTAGCTTAAGCCAAATCCTGGCCTTAACTCAGCACAGGACAGGCAGGAACCAGCTGAGGTGGAAAGGAAAATGTGTTCCTGGTGCATGGGAGTGGGCAAGGCTGACATGGAGGGAGCTGAGGAGGTGTGTGCATGGGCATGTGTCCCTCCTGTGCCCAGAGGAGCAGCGCTGACCTAGAGGTGCTCAAACAGCTCCTTCTGTGTCCCCCAGTTCCGGTGCCAGAGCCCTCGGAAGGGGCTGAGAAAGATGATGTGCGTTTGCAGCTGAAGAGGCACCAACCCCCCAGCCCGACCCAGTGCTCCAAATCCTCCAAACGAGCCAAAATCAAGGTGACCATTGTCTCCCACGGGGATGCTGCTGCCATGGGCACCGGAGCTGCCCTCACCACCCAGGCAGAAAGTGAGTTGTGGCTGCACAGCTGCTTCTTAACCCAAAAACGGGGCCCTGGCTGTGCCCAGATCTGCCCTCAGGGGCACGTGCAGGGAGGGGAGGGAGCTGTGATTTATTGACCTATTGCTGCCATTTTTGGAGGAGTTTGCTGCAGAAAAGGTGGTGGCTCAAGGTGTGAGTGGGCTTGGCAGCTGGGGGAGTGTGACATGTTGGGGCTTGACAGGAGCCTGTTTTCCATAGCAGTTGGAATTGCACATTCTAGCAGAATGCTTGGCTGCAGCCTGGAGCTGGGAGGTGAATTTTACACCTTCCTCTGGTTTTACACTTTCCTCTGGTCTTACTCCCTCCTTCCTCTGAGTGTGGAGCTGCTGCTGGAAGCAGGATGCTGGTCCTGCTGGACCCCTTGCTCCACGTAGGTCGGGTACATCTCTGGTTCCGCTCCTCCCACCTGGAATATGCTCCTGCTTTAGGGATGGCAACCATGTTCCTCCCTTTGGAAGACCTTTGTGTGTTCAGACACTTCAGCCCCGTGGGACCTGGAGTCTGGCACAGCACACAGTTGACGCACATATAAAAATCCCAGCTTTCCTACCTCTGCATCTGGGAAGACCCACCACAATATATCCTGTATCCAAGGAGAGGTGATGTGCTCCATCTTCTTCCCCTTGAGCCTTTGGAAGAGAGGCCAAAAGCTTTGGCTGCTGTGCCCTGTGACCCTGAAGGATGTTTTCTTGTCTGGAGTGTGTGTTTTCCTCCTGCCAGAGCTCCAGATCCATAAGGTTATGGACTGAAAGTGTCTCCGTTCTGGTCAGAAATCAGAGCTTTTCCAAGCTGAGAAATAATTCTGCTCCTTTCCAAGCACCTCTTTGCTAATTTAACAGTTGTTTTAAACTGTGAAGGTACCTAAATCCACATCGTTTTGGAAGGTTACAGTTGATCTTCAGGCAGCTTTGAAAATCTCTACTTTCTGGAGTCTTTTTTTAATTTTATCTTATTTAATTTTCCAAACTTTACTTCTTTTCACAGAAAGGAAATGAATTACAGAAGTAAAACATGAACCAAAACAAGAATTCCCTATACCCGGTGTGAGCAGGAGGAAAGCACAAGACAAACACAGTTGTATTCCAAAAAACACCGCAATAAACAAATCTCGTGACTCGTCGCATCCCTGTGTATTTTGTAAAGTGTCTTTAATTAAAGAATCCTTACAAAATCCATCAGCCAGATCCCAAAAATCCATTGAGGTGGTTCAACTGTGCCATGATGAACTTAGGAGGGGATTAGTGGAGACAATGTTTAGGAGAGAGATTTGGATTTGGTGTCGAGGGGCTGAGATTCCCGAGACTTTGGAAGCTGATTCCTTCAATCTTGGCTGTCGTTCCACAGCAGTTTTGATTGGACTTTGTTCTTTGGGATGTGTGTTTTTCCTGGAGAAGATGTTCTGGGGGCAGGATGAACCCATGGCCGTGCCTGTGGGTACTTGTGTGAGAGGGGGATCCCTAAAAATTCCCTAAAGCCCCGCGGAGGAGGGAAAATGAGGATTGTCCTTTTTCTCTTGCAGTTGTTTCCGGAAAGCCGGTGCCCATGGCCGTGTCTGGAGCAAAGGAGCTTTCGGGGCTGCTCTCCACCCCCAGGTGAGTGGGAATTTGGGATTTATGAGCTGTGGGTCTCTTCGACAGGAAACACCACAACAGGGGCAGTCCTGCATATGGAGCTTTCTGGTTTCTTGCTTCTCACTGGAATGTTCTGCCATGTGGCAGGAGGCTTTTGGGCTCCTGAAAACTCATTGTCACCTGGGAGTCGAGCCTGTGAATGGCAGAAATGGGCAGAAGTAGAAGGTATTGTGGCTGTTGGGTTATGTTTTATGTAGTTCCCCAAATTCAGGTTATCTGTTTTTTGAATGACTGGGGTGGCTTTGGCAGAAATTCAGTTTTTAATCCTTCCCTTAATTCCCTTTGACAGTCAAACTTTTATTTTCCCAAAGACAGGGAAAAACCTCAAAGTGACTCATGAAGGTCATTAACTGCCCATAGGGATTTCTGTTGGGGGATGAATCTCGTGCTGATGCCTGTTTTCCCTTCTAATTCAAACCCAAGCTTTGTGCAACCAGACTCTGACTGATCTTTTTGCCCAGAGAGACTGTGGATTCCCCGTCCCTGGAAGTGTCCAAGACCAGGTTGGACAGGGCTTGGAGCGACCTGGTCTGGTGGAAGATGTCCCTGGGTGGAACTGGATTTGAGGTCCCTCAAAGGGGACCCAAAATGTTTTGAGATTCTGTGATCTGGGAGAGGAGAAGAGTTGTTTTAAATAGGAAATAGGTTTTAAACAGGAAGAATGTCGCTTTGGGGTCAACGACTTTTGTGTAGGGTGACCCAGAGAGGTGCACGCTTGTAACAAACCCTTCCAGCTTGGAAATCCATGGATTTTGCCACAGGTGCTCCTGCAGTGGAACAGGGAAACTTCCCTTGGACTTGATTATCTTAAAGGCCTTTTACAACCTTAACAATTCCATGTTTCTCTTGCTTTGGGTTTTTGTAGCTCAACTGCCTTCCTTCAGGAGTCCTGCTGGTTGTTTGGGTTGGTGCCATCTGTGTCCCTGTGCGGTTTGTCACTGACGGGAGCCTCTTTCTTCTCTTTTAGGCTGAGTTCAGCAGCAGAGGCGTCACTAAGCCCCGCTCCAGCTGGAATTCCCAGTAGCACAGCTCCCAGTGCATTCCATGCCCTGCAGAGCAGGCTGGTGGCCAGCAGCACCCACGGCCTGCAGGCCCAGCCAGCCAGTGCCCTCCAAGGTATCCACCTCCCTATGTCTGTCCCGGGAAGGTAAAAGGTAAACCAGGTTCAAAATCACTCAGTGGAGGCTCTTCCTTGCATTCCCTGGTCGCTTTGGGTCTGGTTGAGGCAGGATTTGTAGGGATTTGCTGTGGAAGGGATTTGTTGTAGGGATTTGTGGGATGCAGCAGCTGACCTGATAATTGTGTCACTTGTATGTAATGATGCCTTGAAACACCAAGCCCAACCTCCTTGCATCTTGGGTTTCACAAGTGACCCCATTTATAGCTGCAGCAGTGGAATGAAGCTGTGCTAGGGGGATTTAGGTGGGATATGGGGAAAAGGTTCTTTCCCCAGAGGGTGGTTAGGCACTGAACAGGCTCCCCAGAGTTTGGTCGTGGCCCCAAGGCTGACAGAGCTCAAGGAGTGCTGGGACAACACTCTCAGGGACACGGTGGGATTGTTGGGGTGTCTGTGCAGGACCAGGAGTTGGATCCATGATCCTTGTGGATCATCCAACTCAGGATATTCCATGATTCTATGAAACAGTGGCACTATGTGTGTAGAGCAGCTTGGAGGATTCCCGTCAACCTTAGGTTGCTGCTCATTAAAGAGCAGGTTTACAGCCATGGGACACACCTGGAATTTCATGCTGCTGAATTCTCCAAGCCTGATTTGATTCTTTTCCTGGATTTTTTTCTTTTTTAGGAGCAGCATCTGCCAGCAGCCTGCTCCAAGGGCTGAGCTTCAGCCTGCAGGACATTGGGACCAAGGCATCCACCCTCCCTGCCAGCATGGCTGCTGCTGGGCCACCTGTGCAGGTATCCACTGGAGATCCGACAGGGAAGCTGTGTGCAGGCTGGAGTTAGAGGGAACTTGGACAAGGCCCTGTTTGCTCCAGGACCAGGAGAGATGAGGAGGGGAGGTTCAGTGACAGGTGTAGGGAAGGGGTCTGTGGGAAGGTGTTTCTAGGCAGCCTTCTAGAAAATGCTGAGTTGGAGAATGGATTTAGAGGAATCGGGGATCATTCTCCTGGATATTCTGGGAAAACACACACCTGTGACCTCTCACTGCACTGCTCATCCCTTCAGTGTGAGGTGATTTCATGTGTGGCTTCATTTGGAGTGGGCTCAGTTTCTCCCAGTCATAGTATCAAGCCGAAATGAGATGTACAAACTGGAAGGGACAAGTTTACTGGCATTTAGACCTGCGTGTGACCAAGAAAAAAGTGGGAAAACCATGACCTCTAACACCTCTGGCTTCTGTGGGAGGGAGAGGCTGTGCCACCGCCTCATCCCCTTTCTTTCCAGGTGCTCAGTGCTGCTGCTTGTCCTTGCAGAGCTCAGCTGTGAAGGCTCCCACAGCCCTGCAGAGCCTCAGTGCCATCACCACAGACACGGGCACCATCGTCCGCACCATCCCTGTGCCCACCTCCCTGGCCCTGGGGGCCTCAGCCAGTGGGAAGCCCTCGGCCATCCACCAGCTGCTGACCAATGGGGGGCTGGCCAAGCTGGCCAGCAGCCTGCCAGGGCTGGCCCAGATCTCCAACCAGGCAGCAGGTGAGGGACATGGGGGCAGGGAGGCATCTGGAACACCCCCGAGAGTGAGGAAGAAGGAAGGACTGGGCTGGAACACCCCAACACTCTGAGAGTGAGGGATAAGGAGGCAGGGAGGTGCCTGGAGCACCCTGAGGGTGAGGGAGAAGGGAGGCTGGAAGGTGATCCAGGTGCCTGGAGCACCCCGAGACCAGCGTTCCCAAACCTTTTTCCTTATGGACAACCACATGTGCTGGCAGTTTGCAAGGAACCGCCTCTGATGAAAAGGCTTCTGGTGCCCCCCAAGCTGCTGATTGTGGCTTCCACAATCCCTCTGTCTCAGAGACATCTCCCATGTGTGTTTTCCAGGCCTGAAGGCGCCCACGACCATCACTGTGACCCTGCGAGGGCAGCCCGGCCGTGTGAGCACCCTGAGCCAGGCGGCCATGGGGATGATCCAGCCCCAGCTGGAGGAGCAGCCCATGCAGACACAGGGCCCTCAGGTAATCTGGGACACCCATCCACCCAAAAAATGTCCATCACAAAATATGTCCATCACTGCTCACTTGAGCTGTTTCTGACTGTTGCAGTCCAAGGGCAGGTGTGGCTGTGGTGGGGAAAGTGTTCTTGGTCACATCTCTTGGGTGTGATGAGTTGGTGATTTGCTGAGGTGGTTGAGAAGATCCAAGTCATCATCATGTCTGTGTCAGGGTTGATTGTGCTTGATATCACAGAATCATGGACTGGTTTGGGTTGCAAGGGACCTTAAAGCTCATCCCATTCCACCCCCTGCCATGGGCAGGGACATCTTCCACTAGACCAGGTTGCTCCAAGCCCTATCCAGCCTGGTCTTGGACACTTTCAGGGACCCAGGGGCAGCCACAGCTTCTCTTGGAATTCCATCCCGCCCCCTCCCCGCCCTCACAGGGAAGAATTCCTTCCCAATATCCCATTTAATCCTACTCCCTGACAATTGGAAGCCATTCTGCCTTGCCCTATCCCAAGTCCCTCTCCAGCTCTTGGAGCCCCTTTAGGCACTGGAAAGAGCTCCAAGGTTTTTGCGGGGCAACCTGTGCCAGGGCCTCCCCACTCTCCCAGGGAACAATTCCCAATATCCCATCTAAACCTTCCCACACTAATACTGCACCAAGGGAATCTCCAGCTAGACTTGAAAAACTGCCATCAGCATGTTACTGAATCCCCAGGTAAAAATTACCCTTCAGGCGAAGCCTTTGGATGGAAGCTGGGTGAGTACAAAGAGCAGCAGCCAGAAATCCTTTGTTTGTCCTGTTAGAGCTGACATTGCATCTGTCATTGCTGGGAGTTCCCATGCAAAATCATGGTTTACTGCTGATTGAGGCTCAGATTTGGGAGCATCCACATCCTTCTGAGTTTCTTTCAGTCGCTGAGCTTAGAACCTGGCTAAGGCAGAGCTCAGAATCCTGAGCTGGTGCCCCTCAGATCCCCCCTGAGCACCAGGGGAGTAACTTGTGTAGGTCTGAAACTCCTCATCCATGTGGGAAACAGCTTTTGTGCTTTTCAGTAAACATCAGAGCTGCTGTGCTTCCCTTCATGTCCTTGTTACCTTTGAGACCCCCTAAATATCCAGGAGAAGTGATGGAACTTGACACAGATTGACTCCAGGGTTGAGTGGTTTAGGGAAGGGTTAATTTTTTATGTGGTGCCACTTGAAAGTGGATATTTGATCCTGAGCTGTGACTTTTCCCTACAATGCTGAGCTTGTGTGTTCAAGGCAGGGCTTAATTGTGTGGCTGGTGTAAGAGTTGCTTCAAAAGCAAACTGAAAGCTGCCTTTTACAGGAAATGGGGTGAGCTGTGTGTTTTTGTAACTAATTATAGCCCTTGACATCAGCTCCCTGTCCCTCTGGCGCAGAGGGTTACGTAATCCAGGGCTTCCTGGAACAGACTGGATTTACAAAAGGCTTTGGGGGATAATGCTGGGGGCTTAAACTCTTGTGTTTTCAGCAGTAGCCAGAGCTATTGTTGGTTGTTCCCTTTGAAATTCCAGCTGGGCCTTTGCAGGAAGCTGGAAGCCATTTCAACTGGTCACGGATTTCAACTGTGCCTGGAGCATCTGAGCTGCACTTTGAGGGGGTAGCTTTCCTTCCCCCTTGGCATCAAACAGGAGGGGAATCTGAGTGGTCTGGGAGTAGAGTGGTGCCAGTTTTCGTTGTTTTGGTTTCCCTGCCTGGGTTGTGCCAGCGCTGGGGTTTGTTCTGGGGTCTCACTCCGGAGAGTGGACCGGGCCAGGTTCTTCTGTTCAGTCTGGAAGAGCTGAAGGGTGCAGCATTGGGATAATCCCAGTGCTCTCCGTGTCCCCATCCCAGGCTTGGCTCAGCTGCACCTCAAGCCCTTAAGTTTTGCTTCACATGAAGCAACATTTGCTTCATGGCCAAGATGCTTTTGGGGGGCACAATTCCCATCAGCTCCCAGGGTGAGCACCATGTCCCCCACTGCTGATCCTCTCCCCTTCTCCACAGTGACCGCCACCAGCCCCATGAAGACCCTCTACGTCATGTCAGCCGCCAGGCTCTCAGCTCTCACCAAGCCTGGGATGAGTGAGGCTCCTGCCGTGCCCCTCACACTGCTGGGCATCCAGCCTTCCTCTTCCTTCTGTTCCTCCTCCTCCTCCTCAACTGGTGCCCTCCCCTTTGCCACCCTGGTGCACCCCAAGGTGGGACCTGCCCTGCAAAGCCCCTCCAGGATGCTCCTCCTGACCCTAGGGAAGGGTGACAGGGCCCTGGGACACCTCAGGGAGAGGGTCAGCCTAGCCAAGAGCCACGTCCTGGGGCCCCTGGAGACCCTGGGGCGGGCTCCCCCCATGGTGGACAGCAGCAGCACCATCATCCACCCCAGGGAGGCTCAAGCCAACAGACACTTAGTGCGCATCCTCAGGCTGGACAGCTCCTCCAGCATCACCCACCAGCCATAGGGACCCCAGGGACCCACAGGAAGGCTGAGGGGTGGGAAAGGAGCAGCCCCCTGGGCAGAGGGGTGATGTTTTTGTGGGTTTGTTATTGTTTAATAAAAATTTCCTTTTTTATTCTTCTGTGCTGACTTTGTGGCCACAGCCCCTCCAGAGGCAGCTGGGGGGAACTTGGGGTGAGGGTGGATTTCTGGAGTTGTAGAGAAACAGAGGGACAAAATAGGAATGGATCCAGGGAAGGATCTACATTGTGGGTCCTGGGAGCAGGGGGGCAGCTCCTCCTGTACCTCCCTTACAGAATCTGGGAATCATGAGCAGGAAGGATCATCCATCCATCTCCGGGCCCTGCACAGACACCTCAGCAATCCCACCCTGTCCCTGAGAGCATTGTCCAAACACTCCTTGAGCTCTGGCAGCCTTGGGGCTGTGACCACTGCCCTGGGGAGCCTCTTCAGTGCCCAGCCACCCTCTGGGGGAAGAACTTTTTCCTGATATCCAACCTAACCCTGCCCTGACACAACTCCAGCCGTTCCAGGGTCCTGTCATTGGTCACAGGGGGCCTGGGGAGTCTCCAAAAATCCAGGCAAGGAGGGATGAGAATGACCATCAACTGGCTCAGCCCGGGCAAAACACAAACCTCCAGCACTCATTTTGCTCCCTTTTTATAGGTGTGTATATAAAATATATATAGAACTATGTGATATGTAATTAAGTCACCACCATAACAAGGTTGGATACAAACAGCTCAAGATCAAGAGTAAAGAGTAAAAATTACTCGGTCCAGATTGTCCCCTCTCAGCCCTGGAGCGGTGATGGCCCTGGCACTTCCCGGTGAGGCATCCTGGCTTCTCCCTCCACAGGGAATGCTGCTGGCTGGGATGGAATTCCTACAGCTTGGTGTGGTGATGGAAGGCTGGCACGTGCTGGGAGCCACAGGAATGGTGGCTGTGCCATGGGTAGGACCGGTGGCGCAGGGAATTCCTGTAGGAATTGGAGTAGTGCCTGGGGCCGGTGCCCAGAGGCCGGCACAGCTCCGGGGGCTGCATGGAGCCCACCACCAAGGGGCTGGGAAAGGCTGGGATGACAAAGGGGTTGGCAGAGAGCGCAGGGGCCACAGGCACACCCTGAGTTTTGAGGTGCTCCAGGGGGCTCCCGAAGCTTGGCGGGAAGTGCAGTGCAGCAAAGCTGGGACTGGCCACCACGGCCTTGGGCTTGGCCAACCCGCGGTGGCCCCCCAGGGGGCTGGAGCCCATGTCCCTGCCCTTGGCCTCCCTGGGGAAGGGGGACACGGCGCCGAATTTGGGGCCAAAGGGCTCCTCATCCTCCTCCTCCTCCTCCTCCTCCTCATGGCCATGCCTGGCCCTGGCAGTGGGTCCGGGTCCGGGGGGCACCCAGGCCTGCACGGCAGCCCCCTGGCTCTCCCACACTTTGCTCCGCAGGTCCTGGGGCTGCTCTGGCTCTGGGAAGGCAGGAGGCGGCTCCAAAAAATCCTTCAGGTTGGAGAAGTACCCCCAGAGCGGATGGGGGGCACTGGGCGGGAGCCCCTCGCTGCGGTAGGCATGGAAGTAGCCGGTGAACGTGGCAGGTGCCGGACCCCCATTCTCGGCCCGGGGGCACCCCTGGGTGTCTGTGCCCCCAGGGGATGCGCTGGTGGAGGGTCCCACCTCATTCCTGATGCTCGGAACTGTATCCTGAGCTCCCGAGGGCTCCGGGCTCCTCTCGGGGGCTGGCCGGGGCGGGTTGTGGCTGGTGGTGGCAGCGCTTGGTGCCCACCGGCCCTCGAGGCAGTGGCGTTTGTGGCAGCCCCGGGACTCAGCCTCGCTCACCTGGGCCAGCAGCTTCTTCTTGGCTAGTGGGGACATGATGGGGTGGTTCCCTTTGGAGTAGAAGCTGGAGAAAAGGCACTTGTAGGTCTCGCTATGGGTCTGGCAGGGGCTGGGATGCCCCCCCGAGGGGCTGGGGGTCGGGATTGCCAAGCTGGAGCAGTGGGGTGGCATTGCTGGGATGGATCCCTGGGCCACCCGGCCCCGCTCTGGGATGTCCTGGGTGTCCTCGGTGCCAGCTGCCACCTCCGTTTTCACCTTGTCCGGAGGCATCTGCAGGCAGAGGGAGTTATTGGGAGGTGGGTGCTGCATCCCGGGATGGGCTCCGGGATCCCCCAACTTCATTCCCCCTTTTCCACTCCCTTTTTCCAACCACCCTCCACTCCCTTTTCCCAGTGATCCACATCCCTCCTTGCTCTTCGCTGCGCACCCCAGTGGGTGAGGGATGGACATAGGGGTCCGAGGCTGTTCCCAAAACTTCCAGAGAAGCCACACACCTGCTCCCTGCCCTTCTCCTTCCTGGCCCTCTTGCTCTTGTCATCCTTGGAGCCCTTGTACTGCTTGCGAGGTTTGCTGGGGGGCAGTGGCTTGTCCTCCTCCCCCTTGAGGTGCCGCACGTAGGGAAGGACCAGCCTGTGGGCGGGGGGTGGGCACAGTGAGAACTGGCCCTGAGAGGGAGAGCTGAGGCCCAGGAAGGGATAGACACCCCCCCAATCCCCCTTGTGTGCCCACCTCTCGTAGTGGCGCCGGGTGCAGGTGGCAGCGCTGGTGCTGCCAGGGCTCCCCCCGAGCTCGTCGTACACGTTCTTCCAGAGCCGGCGCCCTGTCACCTGCACAGGGAGGGAGGGGTGACACCGGGTGCTCAGGAGACAGCCCGGTACTCAGGGGACAGCCATGACACCCAGGGGACAGCACAGAGTGTGCACAGAGTGTGCACAGAGTGTGCACAGGAGATTGTGATGCGCATAGGACATCCCAGCACCCAGGGGACATCCCAATGCCCAGGAGACATCCTGACACCCCCAGGGACATCCTGGCACCCAGGGGACACTCCTACAGTCAGGGGACACCCCGACACCCACTGGACACCAGCACCTCCAGACACCACTTACCAGCTCATAGGCTCCCAACTTCTCCACAGCTTTGTAGATCTTCCAGAGGTTAACTGGCAATAAAGAGGAGAGGCCGAGGGTCAGGGGGACACGGGGGGGTCTCCCTGTCCCCAGGGGATTTGGGGAGTCCATACTCTGCTTGAAGCCGAGGTGGGGGATCCTCTCAATGGGAGTGTGTCGGTCCTTCATGAACTTGTAGAGACTGACCAGAAAAGCCTCCTCCTCCTCCTTCTCCTTCTCCTTCTCCCCTTCCCCCACTGGCTTCTCCTGCTCAGATCCATCCTCGGGACCCAGATCCTCCTGTGGGACACGGGAGGGGGGAAATTTGGGGAAACTGAGGCCGAGCAGCAGCTCCCCCACCCCCTGCCTGGCGATTCAAGCAGCTCTGGGCTCGTTTTTGTCACCCCGGGACAGTGGCCAAGTTGGTCAAAGCTCTGGATCCAGGCAAGAACACGAGGAACAGCTTCCAGGAAAACAGAGGGGCAGGAATTCCTCCTCCCTCCCTCCCACCGCCACCGCCTTTCTCAGCTAAAAATGTGCCCCGTTTGTTTGTTCTACATTTTCCGGAGTTATAAAACTTGTTGCTATTTTTGGGCAAAGCAGCTGCTTGGCTCCCAAGTCCGGCCTTTGATTCTTTTTTAGGTTTTTTTTTTGGTGGTGATTCTTCTCTCGATTCATTTAAACTCTTGTGACAGATGCTGGGTTTTAATGGCTCAACTATTTTGAGGTGCTTTTTTTTTGGGTTGGAAGAAAAAGCCGCTGAGGAGGGAGGGGGATCCAGTGCCACAAAATCTAAATGCTGTTTCCTCTTCAGGATAAAAACTAATTATAAAAAGTATTATTTATATGGGACAGCTCATTTTTCCTCTAAAAAATGCCGGTTTAGGTCTGGTTTTCCCCCGCAAGGCTAGAAATTTCACCCTTCTCTTCCTCATCCTCTCTTTCACTGGTGGCCAAAGTGCTGCTCGCCCTCGTCCCCCCACCAAATTTGGGAGGGTTCAGCACCCCCCTTAAAATCTCGGGGTGAACTCACTGTGGGATTGCTGGTGGTGGCTTCTTGGGGGTCTTGTTGCCCTGGTTGGTTGTTCTCCATGGGGGGGAGTCGTTGGCTTTGAGCTTAGGAGGGTCCTGAGGGGAAAAAAATGGGGTGCGGGGAGTGAGAGACCCCAAACTGTTGCTTTAGGAAGAGGTCCTGAAAAGGAAAAAAAAAGGAGGGGGAAGGGGAGGTGAGACCCCCAAATTGTTGCTGCTCCCATAAAATTAAGGAGAAATCGGGATGATTCGGGTCACGGCGTCACCCGAAATCGGCCACTCGTGGCCTGAAGCTGCTCGCTGACTGCCCCCCCAATCCAGGCCTCGGTACCCCCCCCAATAGTCCCCCCCGCCCACTTTTTTGGGTAAAACCCATGGAAAAACGGCAAATAAAGGCGCTGCCAACCTGAAATAAATGAGGCCCGGTCGGCGGGGGATCCAACCCCCCTCTGACTCACCCCTTCCCACGGGACCCCCTCGTGTCCCCGTCCCCCCCCGCCGCCCCCGATCGCTCACCCGCCGCGCCTGCACCACGTGACTGGGCGCGCCCGAGGGGCGGGGCCAACACGCCCCCTCGGCCCCCATTGGTGGGACCAACTCGCCCCCTCCGCCTATTGGGCGGTCGGGAGGGTCGGCCCCGTCCCCGGCGAGGGGTGTGATGGAACTTGTAGTCCGGAAGCGGCAGCGTCTGCG